CTCTAGGCTGCCACCGTATGACTATTACTATATAATAAGTTATTAATAAGTAATAACCAATCTTAATTATTTGGTACACGATTCTAACTAAGTACAGTGGCGGCTATCCTCAAATTCAAATGCATCTGTGTTGCTAAGGACAATTCTGAGGACCCAACCATCTACAAACATTTATTAGAAAATATAAAGTACCAATATTCAACCAGTGGGTCACATGTTTTTGTTAATTTTTGAATGATGTTAAATTGTCAAAGTATAATTTATCTAATAATTAGTTTTTAAACTATTAAAGAATTGGAAACAGTATTTAAAACGAAGTTTATGTTACTTAGATTTTTAAAAGGAAGGAGCGTATTTTGATGCCTCAAACTGTGCTATACTATTTATTTAAATGGCGATCTAAACGTTGATAGAAAAAAAATTTGGAAAATGTTACTTTTTTCGAATAGGTGTTGGTGACATACCTGTTGATGGCTTTTTTAATACAAGTTTTACTTTTAGTGAATTTTGTGGTGGAAGGATTTCCCAGCTAACTTCAAAATTAAGCTACATAGTTTACGGCACCATCGAGTAACAAATTTGCTGAAAAAAATTTGCAAAAATCATTAATTTGACGCCTCAAACTACTCATCGAGATTTCGTAATCTGTGAACATAACCTCGCTTTTCAGGCACAACTCGACAGCCACGCTCGTTCTCCCCAACTTACTCTCGAGACCGGTTTCCGTTTTTTTCCCGTACTATTCAGATTACATACTTCAAGCAACTATTTATACTCAACGATATATTTTTCCACACCCGGAACTGACCCGTAGCCCATACTCGCTGGCGGGCCGCATCATGAAAACGTTTGTTTCTCGTACACTCCTGGTACCGAATTATGTATTTTAAATTTATTTTTATACAGTCCGCTGGTTTATTTAATTTGGACGGACAAACAGTCCAGCGACAAAGGAATAACTTTAGTTGCCTATCCACAACGCCTCGTTATCATGATCAAACGATACCAATTTATAAAAAAATATATAAAATATTATGATATTATATTGATATCGACATATCGTACTAGGATTATGAAATGGGCGAGGGGGTTAAGTATAAATTAAACCAATTTTTTTTACAATTTTCGTATATAAATAATACATTTAATATATAAACAATGTAAACAAAAGAGGGGGGGTTAAACACCCTTTTATTTATATAAATACGAGATAATCTACTTAAAATTGTATTATTTTTCAATGTATATATTAAAACATTTATTTTATTTTTAGGATTTTTATTGTAAGTTTAAAATTGTAAAGAATTTTAGTATGACAATTAAAAAATAATTATTATTAATCAAAATCAAATAGTTCTTAAAAATATACAAATCTAATATGTAATAATAATTAAATTAAATGTTAATTTAAATAAATATAAAACTAATAAAAAATGGTGAAACGCAAATAATCTATAGAGAAAGTAAAATAATAATAAAATATGTTGAATAATAATATGTTAACAAGAGAATGTTTTAAATTGTTTTTATACAGTGTCCATTATAATAGGTTAGTCGGTCTACGCTGCAGTCAAAGACGAAATAGTTTAATAAAATATTCAATAAGTTAGTATAGTTAGTAGTTATGAACAGTTTTATTCGCAGAAATTTTTTCAAGAGATTTTAATAGAAATATATTTTATATTACTAAATAATAGTAAGTTAATTATATCTATTGTTTTATTGTGTTTTAGCTATACGGATACGCTCTGTCGTGTCGTGTGAGTTTCATCATCTTCAGATTGGCCATATCATCCACTAACCACTAAACCACATAATCCACGACACGATCTACCGGGAAATTTCCAGAGTTTGACCAAGCTAAACTTTTGGACACGACACAACAGACGACGTCGATGCAGTGAACCCGGATTATTATACCAATCTTATAATAAATTCCTATAGTTATCTGCAATAAAATTATTATAATAGTTCTAGGTATTGACAATTGACTATTTAAACATTTTTAAAAAAGGTACCTACTAATATTTTGAATTCTCTTCGAATATACTTAAATATTTTCTAAATTAAAATTTGGAATCGAATATATAACATTTAATTAACACCGTTATGATTTATGAACATTATATATTTACATTTTATGATAAATATACTTACCCATGGGCAATGGGTTTGAGCAGTAGGTATTATACCAACTTAGATTTACTTTAATTCAATTGAATCTGTATGTATAAAATAAGATGTCTTGACTATGACTAATCAACGTAAGCTGTACAGCCAAAACGTTGATAGCTATAGACGGTTACAAAAATGTTTGTCGTATATAAAGGTATATAAAGAACAATATTTGGATAGTCCAATGACCAACAGTTAGTTATGCCCCATATACATTTTTGCCCATTGCCCAATGTAATAAATTGTGTCCATTATTTTTTAAGTCCAACGTACATATATTTTGTCCAATGTAATTATCGTATCTATTATTTTTAAAGGTTTCTATTTAATTTCGAATCTTTACTGTTTATCCGGATGTTTGTCCTCTTGATTTTTTAAGTCCAGTGTCCTTTCATCTATTATTTTATGAGTAAGTAAAATATTTTAAAAATTACAAATAAATACGAACAATACATTTGTTGTAAATTTAGTTCATTACCTAAATCAGCATTTGGATAAAATTGTAATTTGTAATTTTAAATGGTAAGTCAATGCTCTAAAATATACTCTGATTTCGTTATTTTCTTTGTAAAGCCTAATGACTAATGAGTATAATATATAGCAGGTAAAGTAATTATTACTTTACCCACTATATTTTCAACTAGTTCCTAATTAGCAATATATGGCGGGCGCTCCTGAGTAAAGATAACAGTTAGCAAATTTAACAGAATTCAATTTACAAAACATAAGTGCATCTAGAGTTAATATAATATAATACCTAGAATCTATATTAAATGTATATCCTTATATATATATCTAAAATTATAGGCCTGATTTATGAATATGTATCAATTTTCTGACGAAACTGTTGAAACTATATCTAATTTATATACTATTTTTTTTTTGATAAATTATCAGAATTTTAAATGCTTAAATAACTTTTAGGGGGCGCCAGTGGCAGCCTTCTGTATACCCTGTATAAAAGAGGCCTGTGCACGCCTATGATATGTACATGTACATTTCTCACAAACAACAGATATTAAACGTATATTTCAATCATAAAAACGGATTACAGTTCAGTTACTGAAATGAAGAATAAAATCACGACTTCTTAACCAACAGGATTTGCATTTTCTTAAGTAACAATAAAATTGGAAAAAATAGATCACTCGAAAGAGTATTTGGAAAAAAATTATTATTATTAAATTATTTAAATGACACTACAAAAAGGGTGTTGACCAGTTGCCCCTCACCAGTAGCGTCCGCAGGATTTTTCAATGGGAGGGGCTTGAAAATTAGTTACAATTTTCTTTTCATTTTCTCCAGTCTAATAATTTCAGACGTTTATTTGAGGTATTTTAAAATGTTTATAACTTTTCAACTTTTCTGGTAGAAAAAACGCTCTGATCATAAGCTCCGATGCTCAGTGTATGTTTTTGGAAGCAAATTGGATCTAGTTGGTACTATTAGGATTTAGGAGGTTGAAATTGAAAATGCTCAGTGCTTTTAAAAATAATTTGAGAAAAAAAAATGAAAATTTATTTAAATGTTTGGTTATACCGTCTTCACTTGGATTGTATTTGAATAATTAAATTTTTGTTTTCTATAAATGTCAATAAAAAATTATTTATCCGGTCAAAAAGCTTAAAAATGTAATACGTAAGTTTTTTTTATTATAGCTAAAATATTAACGATACATAGGCATCATGCTTATTTTTTATAAGCATTTAAAGTTCAAATTTCGTCAAAACCATAGTTAATTTGTAGTTAAAAACTTATAAAATATTAAATGTGTATAGCTAAGGCTAGACAATTTAATACAAGGTCTTTCATACAAATAGTTCATACTTTTACCGAAAAATTACAGATAATTTATGAAAATTGGTATGTTACAAATACAATGTTTTTTCAAAAATGAATTCATTCTGGTAAGACATATTTGAAATTTACGTCTTGCTTACTATAGTTGAGAGTTTAACTTGATTAATATTTTTTTGAAAAAGTAATAATAATACGGGTAATAGGGGAGCTTTAGCCCTTTAGCCCCCCCCTCTGCGGACGCCACTGCCCCTCACTGTTGTTATCGGGATTTTAAAAAAATAATTAACCTTTGAAAATGGTTTATCTATTAAGCACATTAACTACCTATTAAGGATAGGCATAGGAAATAAAGGATTAACAGATATCAGGATTCAAGAAACACAACTGCTTACAACTTTAAAATAATACATTTACAGTTTTTGTTTACTCATAAATAAATATATTTTATCCTAATGAAAATAGTCTAAAAAAATTATTAAAAGTTTATTTATTGACTGATTGAGGTTCGTGTTATAATATTAAAAGTTAAAATATTTGTATGCCTCCTAAAGTCCTAACCACGGTTCAGATGTTATAGGCGCTAAAGCCAAAAAGCCAAACCATGCCAAATAATCAACATAACTATTAGCTACACAAGCATGTCCACTTCAGTAAGATATACGATGTACCTACTCTAAAGTCTAGGTATGGCTCAATGCTCGCACAAAAATAATTCTGTAAAAAAAAGGGGACTAAAATTAAACAAAATTGGTACCTATAAAATATAGTTTATAAGTTATCACTAGCTTCATGCTGACGCTAGCAAACAGCTGCTTATGCAGATTAAATTTAGGTTAAGAATTCGCTGTTATCACTAAGCGGAGACCCGATTACCCGTCACCCGAACACTTTGGCAGTTTTATTTTTGAGAATGTAGCTCAATGTATTTTGATATATTATTTGTGTGAACATTGTTCATATGTAACAGTTTTTTGGTATTAGGTTTATTTTTTTTATTATTTTAGTAAACAATACATAACAATATAATGTCGTCAAAGGGCCCAACAATTGCTGGCTCAGACGGATCAGATTTTTCTCATCGTCAAAAAGTTGCCGACCACTACAAAATCAGGTACATACTTTATTTTATAGATACACATTTATTTTATTCTTCAATCTACATAAATAATAGTTTCATACCTACCTATTATTTACTGTCACATACTCAAATCAATCAATTTTGTTTTAAAAAAAAAAAAATTAATAAACTTAATTATTTAAAAATAATCTAATAATTGATTTTAATTTTAGTGTACAAAACAAAAGTCGACTTAAATACTGTATACTATTTCACTATATTCTATTCTTTCTTATGGGTGCAAAATTATGCCCAGATGTTTTGGATAGATTGGATATATTTGTATTAGAAATTGAAGAACTTGAAATTCCTAAGGTAATTCAATTCGAGAATGAAATAATTTCTTACTGAATAATAAAATCTATTTGATATTATAATTTATAATATTAGTAGTATACATTTTAATTTTCTGAGTTAAACTTGGCTGTATATACAAAGGTAAATATAATTTATTATTTCAGCCATTGCTTTGGGAATATTTATGGTGTTTGAGTTTGCCAGCATCTTTTCTGGCATTACGTGCAATTAAGCATAATTGTATAAAAAATATTTCCTTTTACATCAAATGGATTATTTCATTCGGTGTTTTACCCGTAGTCTATGGCTTTTTTACATACCTTCCACAAGTTTATACTTTTATTACAACAAGTCCATCAACTGAATCTATTCAACTGTGGCGGGTGAGTATCATACTATAAAATTGATAATTATTTATTTGTACTTAAATTATTTTTTCAATTTCAGAACTTCCCTTATGGTATACTTTGGTACATATTTATTGCTATAGCAGTTCAAATTCATGGATTCTCAATATATTTTGCACTAAATTTGAAAAAGGCCTGGACTGCCAGGGGTACTGCTCAAAAAAAGAAATAAATGAGTTGCTTTGAAAAATCATGGTGATCTGGGATAGTGTAAATACTATGGATTATAACTGTACAATATATATTTACATTTTTATGATTATGTAAGCCATGAGAACTGCATAATGGTTTTAACCAAACTGAATTAATATAGTTAATTAATGGTAAAAAAAATATATTTTTGTAGTTTATCTGTGCTACTTAAATTGTTAAATTGTTTTCTTGTTTATTTAATATAAAATTTACAAGATTGAAAATTTTGTATACAATTTGTTATAACTTTATAAGTGATTATAATTGTTTATTATAAATACGGAAAATTATTTTTCACCCTATGTATTTATACATTTTTATACAACGGGTTGATACTTTATAGCTTTTTATAATTGGTCAAAATTAATATTTAAACAATTTGAAACGAGTATATAATCTTTTTTATTGTTTCATAGAGTATACATAAAATATTTTGTATATTCTTAACCTATTCTCAATACAAATATGTGAATAAATAAATAATTCTTGTAGGACCATTCAAGAAGTTAAATTATTAAAAATATTTTAAAACTAATATTCTATATTATTATTATAATTAGTAGAAGAAATGCATATAAGTATTAGTTCTATGTTGTCATAGAGGAAAAATAGCTATACCTATTGGTATATTATTACTATTTTTGTTTTCTGTGTCATTTCTCTACCACCGTTACTAAATCTGAGTTTGTAACCAGATATGTTTGCACCTCATCCCAATTTTTTTTATTATTATTTAACCTTCATTTATTATCAACAATTTTAAAATATTTTACTTTACATATTTTTGTACCATATAAATATAAACTGTAACATATTTTTTTGAGGTGGAATATAAAAAATATTTAAAAATGTATTTTATAAATAAAGTAAAAAGTTCTAAGTTAAAAAAATATTTACTGTTTATAATGTATAGCGGTATTGCATTCATGTACTATGCAATATAATGGCAGTTTTGAGTTTTGTTTATATTGAAAATAGTTGTTATAATATATTAATACATATTATTATGTATTATTAATAAACAATTTTAATATACCATGTCATGTTAGATATAATTTAAATGGCACAGTTTTAAATATTTATTTGTACATTTTCATGCATAAATATTTAATTATTTGCATTACAGAGTACCGACCTATGGTTGTTTATTTTTTTGAATTCATATTTCATTCAAATCAATACTGATAAACGATAATATGTAATATTGTTTACACAAAAGTAATTAATTATTGTTGTATAGCTGTTTTATCATATTTTTATCATTGCATTGGTCATTATCTAATTTATTTTACGATCTACATATAACCAATATAATATTGTATTTTATTTTTATTCGTTCAGATTTATAAAATGTTATGTATTTAAGTATGTTATTTGATGATTGTTAAAGATAAGTATTATGAATTTAGCACACAAGTGAATCAAGTAAACTAAATAATTATATTTTGCTTTAGGTACCTAATAGTTATAAACTAATAACTGAGCAAACAGTGAAATTTAAAAATTATATATTATTAGAAAGAAGAGTAGGTACGTAATTACATTGAGTAATATTATTTATATTAATATTATAATTGATTATAATAAGATAGATATTATAATGAAAGACTAGTAGTTTTAAAGTGTAGTGTAAAGCGATAAGTACGGTCCTCGAACGATATGATTAATGTCATTTGATAGTTCCAATTGTCGTTCTCGTGAATTAATTTCACAAAACAAAACAAAGAAATCGTGTCATGTAGACATTAATATTATGGGTGCAATATTAGAATGATATATTTTTAATTTTATAATGATTATAACTTGGAGAATAGAGATCGGACCATAATAATTTCTTGAACAGATCGAAAAGGGAGAGATACTGTCTACTGTACAGGTATTCTGATGACATTTCGTACAAAGCGAATAGTGTGTTGTAATAATATAATGTTATGATGTGTAGATCGACCTGTGCGGGTTTTCTGCGCCGGCTACGACGATAAAAATAATAACGAACAGAGTTTGTCATCGTGTCATTATGACGGGGGAAAGGAGAGAAAAAAATTTCGGCCGTCTAAAGAAAAATGGCAACAACACTCGGAACGCGCACGCCGTCGGGACGACGAGCATAATAATAATAATAATAATATAATATCATTACAAGCACGGCGACTGCGATATTACAATGCGTGTGCGTGTGCGTGTGGTCGCGAGAGGTGCAAAAACGCGGCGGCGCAAAAACAAACGAATGCTCAGAGCCGAAAAAAATACGCGAAGACGCGGGCGACCGACCGTTGGAACGGCCAACCGCCGCCGCCGCACGTACGTTAAAAAGTATAATATATCGTAAAATTATATCGTTCGTGACCGGCGTCGTCGTGGCCACCCACAGCCGAGACGGCTGTGCTTTTCTTCGGGTAGATGGCGCGCGCCGTATCGGCCGGCAGAAAATCGTTTTTATCGATGCGCGCGCTAAAAAATGGAATAAAAAACCGTGGGTGGGTGGAACAATGACAATCGGCGAGGCCGGAAAAATCGTAAAGTTTTTCGGGACGCGCAACGTGCTGGGTCCGGGAAAGACTTGAAAAACGTTATTTGCTCGAAAGCGTGCAGCCGTCGTGCCGAGAGGAGAAATAATAATAATAAATTTAGCTTCATATTATTTTATACTACGCATGATAAAGTGAATACGCAGCGTTGAGTGTAGACGGGACAAAAAATGTCGATGCACAGGCCGGCGGCAGCAGCACTGCGAGCGGCGGCGGCGGCGTCGTCGTCGTCTCACCCATTACAGAGTGGCCACGGGACGCGCGCGTGAAGCCGGGCCGAGAGTACACACTGTAGGCCGCCGTACATTTTTGTTCCGTTCAGAGTCTACGGGAGATAATCGGTGAGTGTGCGCGGCGTATTACTCGACCGAAATTTATTGGAAAAAGGGTATTGCATATACACACACGGGCACGTATGATTTTCTAGTGTTGTTATTATTTTTCGTGTACGAATTGCGAGTGCTGTGCGCGGTTTGCCGTGTTCGTGTACGCGTTTGTCGTTTTGCCGTGCGTTGCGATAATATTTTCCTCGTCCGCTCAGCGTACCGCGGCCGAATCGAATTACTGTAGATTTCGTTTTCTCCGTTCGTGGCGTCCGTGTGCCGCCGACGATTCCCCGGGATAGGATATTCGTCCGAGAGGTGCGTCGTAACCTTTTGCCGTCCTAACCTCGTTTCGCGTTTCTCGCCCGCCGTTTGTCGTCGTCGTTGTCGTTGTGGTCGTCGTCGTTCGTTTCCCGTTAACGAACCGCCGCCGCGCACACGCAGTGCCAACGAACGGGCCATGTCCGATGCCGGTGCGGACACCGACGTGCACGGCTGCAGCGGACACGTCGAGTGGTAATTATGTACGCTGCGCCATTGCCATGTTTAATATTCGGTTTGCCGAGTGCGAACGGCGCGGGCATAACGTAGCTGACTCGTGTTACTATGTACTACGCTGTCGTTGACGGGTGGCGGCGGCGGGGTGTTGGCAAACGTTCTGCTGCCTGTAACGTCGTCTAACATGGCTGCTACGCACGCGGAAAACCAGCCGGGCGGCGACGTGAACAATCGCGACCAAGATAGGCCGCTGGATGTGCCCGGTTTCCAGAACGGCAGCCACGAGCGCAGGGCGCCAATGAGCGGCAGCAGCCTGCTGGCGCCTGAATCGCCAAAAGGTAAGCAGCAGCAGCAGCAGGTGCCGACCAACCACCACAACTACGACGGTATGAGCAGTGGAAACGGTGGTGGACCGCTGTACGGCCGGCCGGAGCATGGCGACCAGCCGTCCGGTGATAGTGACATGCCAAAAACAAACAATTTCGAACAAACGCCGCCCGACAAGGATGGCTATCCGCCGCCTCCTCCCGGCAGCTATCGTAACAGTTTTGGTCACCATCAACCACCCTCTGATCAGCACCATGCCAATAGCAATGCCGAGCCCAACAGTTTTGGCCAGTTCAGGCATGCTTACCCTAAACCAATGATGCGGGTGCCAGGACCACCAGGAGCTATGTTTCCCCAGCGACAATACTTGTCTGGCCAGAGTATATCCCAACCGACTGGACCTACGCCCACACTCAACCAGCTGCTGCAGTCATCGAATCCGGCTACACGTTATCAGAATAATTACGGCAATGAGTATCCCAAACCTGATGGTTCTCAACCGCCGCCGGTTCAAAACCAACAACAGCAACATTACAACCAAAATTGGCCACCACCAAGACACAACATGCCACCTTTTCCACCTCAACATGGCATGCCTTATAGAAACATGCCACCATCGGTCAGTTATATTTTAATTATTTGAAAATGCATATCAAAACTTTTAAATACAAATATTCCCCTACTCTAATCTTAGCTGATATCCAGAATTATTAATCTAAATACCATTAAGTATTTAGTTCAAAAGTTCAATATTTAAAAGATGTTAAGCACTGAATTACTCGTTCCTCACTTACTCTAGACGTTACCTATAAGGGGTTTATGGCTCAACAGGGGTTTTGATTTTATTGTAGTCTGATGATATCAAATACAAGTAGTCCATCCTGTTTTAAAATTTTCCTAACTTGTTAATTTTACTCAGTGACTATATTTATAGCTAAGCATGACATATAAAAATTAAACAATTTCAAATAAAATGTGTATATGATATATTATTATCATAAATCTAATTTAGGTAAATAGTAGAGCAGATGCTGTTTGAATAGTACCATAAATACCTACATAATTTGTTGGTCTTTAAATATTTTTTCTTTTAAAAGTATTTTATCAATTATTTTTTATCTTAGATCAAATTACTGGAATATTTAAAGTACAATTAAATGTTATTAGGTATATGTAGGTATTAATTAATGTTTAATAACTGCACATGCTGATAGGTACCTGGTAACCTATAATATTATTACATTTAAATATTCATCTGAAAATGGCCGAATGCACACATTAAGTCACAAAATATTTTTCCTTTA